AGAGTAAGGAGGGACGTCTTTAGCTAGATCAGGTTGCTCAGAGCCCCATCCAACCTGACCTTGAATGTCTCCAGGGATGGGGCTTCTACCACCTCTCTGGGCAACCTGTTCCAGTGTTTTACCACCCTCATCGTAAAAAAATTCTTCCTTATATCTAGCCTAAATCTGCCCTCTTTTTTAAACCATTACTCCCTGTCCTATTGCAGTAGGCCCTGCTAAAAAAATTGCCCCCATAATTATTCTAAGGGTTGTGGCTAGCACTTAAGCTTTGAAAACAACTGGAGAACAAAGGGACAGATATTAAGCATTATAAAATTGGGTTTGTTTGTCACCAGAAATTTCCATCACTGTCATGGTATTGCTGTGATGAAATGAAAAGTACCAATACTCCCTTGAGAACAATCTCGGATCAGAGTCGTGGATCCAGACCTGCACCCAGTATAAAGACAGCTAGGCAGATTTTAAATTCAGCACCAAGCCTAGCCTTTGTGCTCTCTTGAAGTACAACTTAAAGCAGTTTTTAGTCTACCTTGAACTATAACAGCTGTCTGTAGCCTCCAGAGGCTTTCCGGTTGCCAGGGCTTACTGGGAACAGTAGCACTCTGACCAACAACCTCACAAGATATGGATCTGTGTATCTAGGAGTTGTGTTACCCGCAGCAGTTCTCCAGCAGGCAGGTTGGTGACAGCCTGTTTTTCATAGAAGCTGCAAACTAGTAGGTGATTAGCAATGTTTACAACTAATTGTACGTCAGTGACAAAAGGCAGAAAACACAAGGGAAAGTGTGAATATTTGACATCAAGAGTATGGATGTTATGGAAAATACGGTGGGTGGTGATGTGTGTCTATCAGTATGATTGAGATGTTGGCACATTTATGTGCGTTTGGGGCTGCACATGACTAATGCAGAGCATTCTTAATGAAAGCCAGTAAATATTTTACTACACTGTCAGGTATCTGGAGTTCACTGATACTGCAGGAAACTTGGTTTGCATATTTAGAAATAGGTCACTGGGACATGATTACACTTCTCTGAAAAGCAAGGTGTGATTGAGAAGAAACTCACTGTGCAGAACTCCAGCAGAGTTGTGAAACTGATCAGAAACAGATGACACAAAAGCATTATTAATATCCCCAAAATAAAGTGTCTGACATCTCAGTCCTTTGCAATTGTAGAAGTAGGTACAGTGTCCCTGTGGGAAGTCCAGCTGCTTGAGAAGCTCCTTAGAGGTCTGTGGCATGGCAAATGCTAGCATTGTAACAATGTTATGTAGAACTCTTTGAAGTCCTACAGTTGCTTCTGTCCATTCTGCTTTTAGCAAGGATAATTTTTGCAGGAAACGGCATACTTGGGAAGTTTTCTGTAGATGCATTAAAAAGGCTTTTAGAGGTGGATTTGTTTTATTGCCAAGTATAAAACTTATTAAAACTAAGAATTCAGGATGTCATTAGATAATCTTTTGAATAAAGAAATCTTTGATATGAATTGTATCTCCTTGATAAGAAACACAATGGACTACCAATTTGATAGCTGGGTCTAGAAACTTCAAGGCTTGTTCTTCCTTCTTTTTTCTATAGATTAGATTAAAAGTTTTAACATGAAAGCCCAAATGGCCTGAAAAACATCTGTACTGAGAATATATATAGTATAATAATGTAAGATACACTGATGGTAGCCTATGCTACCTTTTCAGTTTCCTCTGATGAGGAAAAAAATGTTAGGTGTTGTTTGGCTTTGTTTGTCGTTTTGTTTTTGTTGTTGTTTTTTTTAAAGTGATCTACCATACATATAATTACCAACTTTGTATTCTAATTGTTTAATGTCTCTATTTAATCTCTTATATTCTTTTTCTCATTTTCCCCCAGAATTCATGTCAGACTAATTAGTATCTAGTTCATTGTGTCATCCTACTTATTCTGTTTTAACACTGGCGTAGCTTCAGGAATCGTCCCCATTAAAAATGTTAAAAAAACCCGAACACCCAGAAAGGGAAGATCTCATCAGTCAAATCTTTCAGGGCTCTTAAGGGCTGTCTACCAGGGTCTGCAGATTTTTTGAAGTATTTGTCCCAGATACTGTTATGTAATTTCCCATACTATGAGTTCATCTTCATATGATATAAGTTATCAATAAGCTTCTTTCCAAATATAGAACAGAAATATTTATGCAATGCTGCTGTCTTTCTGTATCTATTAATACTTTTAGCACTTTTGGTTGTAATGGACTATACCATGATATCTGTTTTTCCTCTCTGCCTGGACACAAGTTGTATCTCTAACCCCAGAAGCTGTATCAGTGAAGTTAGAAACAAAGTGCTGTAAGGGAAAGTTACCCTCCAGTGGTTATATAACGCTAATCAAAATTCGATGAAAAATTATTCTAGGCATTTAAAAAATGGTGTATCTTCCCTGGGATTTCTTGACCCATGCCCTCAGCTACACTATTGCCTGTCTCTGCTCCTTTTTAATTATTCTCCTCTTGGACCTAACTTGCAGTGTATCTCTTCTTCCACAGCAATAAAGGGCATATGAGGGAGTTATTTCCATCTTTGCAAAGGAAATATATTTTGCAATTAAAAATCATTGTAAAGAGCAGAAACCTGTGGAAACTAGCAGCCAGTCTACTAAGGCTAGCTTGTTCTGTTTTCAACAGGGTCTGGATGTTTTCTTTGTTAATGTTACTTGACCTTTTTTAATATCTGTGAAATTACTTACGGAACACATGTTTAAATAGAGGACATCCTTGAGTCTTATACTGGGCTATAGTTTAATTACCATTTACAATAATCTTAGGTGCAGGAGTGTTGAGACCTCCCATCTACAGTAAACAGTACTTTTATCTGTCTTGATCATGCCGGCTGCTCACTTTTAGGATTTCACAAGTGTCTAAGCAGGCAATTAAATCTGGATTTTGGGCTTATACTATAATGGAAATAAGGGCTTTGTTTAAATTTGGATAATAGTACTCATAAAATGCAGAGATACTTCATGCTCAAACATATACCATCTGTGCAGGGTGTCTGACAGCCTTTTCATAAAAACAGAAGGTTTTACTGTGTCTGTGATTCATCTAAAAGTAAATTAAAATTTTAGAATGGGAAGGTGAACGCATTCCTGTGGGCTGAGGAGACTTGTTTTAGGACAGTCAAAGCAATTGCTTATGGTTCTGGGTTACATGAACCTGAACAAGACTGAATTAGGTAAGTGTTCTGGTTAATAAGAGACATATTCAGATGGCCTAAATTCTACCTAAGACCAAGTCAACAGACAAGGAGGCCAAAGAGGGGTGCAGTGGAGCTGGACTGGATATTCATCAGCAAGCAGGAGGAAGATGGGTAGAGGCAGGATTCAAACTGTCCAGATATTGCCTCTGTCATGTGGGCCAGAGAAGAGAGGAGCTACACTTGCCTCTGCCCATGGCCTCCAAAGCTTGATGCCAGGCTGAGCTGTCTACAATTCTCCCTCTCTGTAGGAATGAGGAAAGACTTGCTTTGGTTTTTGGGCTGGCATCAAAGTTGTCATCTTATATTTACTGGCTTATCTCACAGAGGAAAGGTTTGTTTAGGTTATCTTCAAAGAAAAGGTAAAATAGATTGTGCTTTAATGAGTCAGTAGCTAAAACAGTAGTCTTCTTGGATGTAATTCTAGGAAGATCCTCCTACTGGGAAAGTAGAAGCATCTGCTTCAGTGAGGTTGTGTGAATAGAAATAAATAATTTTACAAAGAGGAAATTTAGATTAACTCTCTGGCTTCAGCAAGTTGGGCTCAAAATTACTTTTGCTTAAGTAGAAAAAAAATATAATTACTGTTCATTTATTTCAAAATCTTATCAGCTGTCTGGCTTGGACACTCTTACTTGCTTGTTTGATGTGTAATTTGTATATAATCATCTCTTTTGGAAGTAGAAATAAGCAAAATTTACAATACAGTCATTGTTTTGCAGGGGAGATAGGAGTGGTCTTTCTGCTTCTTTAGACTCAGATCATTCTTAAAATTGGCAGGTTGTGGAGTTGGTACCTTGCTGTCACTTGCTAAGCAGAATTCTGCATGCCATTTGGATTCTTAATTTCACCTCCCTCCAAGCATTTTCTTTTTATTAAATGAAAGAGTTGATAAACATTCTATACTCTTTTAGGTTTTTTTACTTTAAAAAGAAGGAAAGGACTCTATTTGAACTGCTTTTATGTTTTAAGATACAAGTTTGGAATGAGTCCAAAATCCCTTTTCCACAAGTGGCGTCATATCAATCAGATTTAAGATCCTGAGTATCAGAGCTACCTTTGAAAATGTTACCCCTGCTTTCCAAAAAAAAAAAAGGTAGCATAATTAAATTTTCTGAAAACATATATCTGGTTTGGGCATTTGGACATGTATTATGCTTAATGTGGATGCACTTTAAGATGAAGTATTTTTTAAAATATTTCTAGAGAAATCGTATAATGGGAAAGGGAAAAAGAACTGAGCACTCAGGGAGGCTCTTCCTTCCTATGCCTAGTTACCCTTGGGAGGATTTTTGCTGGGCAGCAGTTGGAAGTCCTAAAATGCAAAAACAGGCAAGCATGAGGTGGTGAGAGCCACACTGACTTTCAAAGTCAGTAGACAATACTGATTTTTAATGCTTAGGATCTAATGAATTAGCAGTGCATAAAGAACACCTGGTGCTCCCAGTAAAGCATGGGGGAGGGGGGTGGTATTTTTGGATCAGACTATTTATGGTCGAAAACCTTAACTCTCCATCTTGGAAGATAAAAGTTAATAATGGAAATACTTATTAATAATCATGAGCATATATTCCATTCTGTTGATTTGATTTTTAATTACAAACCAATAAAATGTTTCCTTGCTAGAGGGTAGTAATA